ATTTGCTTTGGTTTGCTGAACCTAGTTCATAGGACCTTTCAAATACAGACACTCACCTGCGGTTGAGTTGCAGGTGGAGGTGTGGACTTGTGGAAACTTGGGAGAGGAGAGGTGGCTTTGAGTCTGGCGCTGAGTCATACCTGCCTTGCAGGACCTAGGAAGCCATTTTCTCCTGAAGAAGTAGCCCCTCCATGCAGTCTCCAGGCAACCAATACAGCTACACTCAAACTACACTCTGAGTGGTACAAAGGATACAAAACAAAATCTGAATAGTCCCTGAGAGCTCACAGGGACTGACCTAAAACAGAGGCCTTCAGTCTCAGCAACAGTAAACTGAGAAGCAGCAAACAGTACAGAAGAGTGGGATCTTAAACCAGCCAAAGGAAAGACACTTCACTTTTTCATTTTTATTTTTATCTTATTTTATTTTATTACTATTTTGTTATCTTTTTTCTTTTTTCTTTATTTACCTTTTTTGTTTGTTTCTTTATTTCCTATTTTTTCACTTTTTTATCATTCTATTTTTTTATTTTATCTTATATTTTAATTAATGTTTTCAATTTATTATTATTATTATTATTATTATTATTATTCTCTTTCTCTTTCTTTTTATCCACTCATCCTCTTTCTTCTTCCTCTATACTGAACTGAGGTCCTCCCCATATGCATCCAATTCCTTAACCTTACTTTCTGAATATAAGATTCTGCCCCCACACTAATTACTGGGTATTTGGTGTTTATATATATATTTCCTTTTCTTCCTTTTTCTTCTTTTTCTTTAATCTTATAACATTTTCTAATATCTTGGATATGATTTGTGCTCTTTTCTCTCCCCTAATTCTCTTTTCTCTGGTGGTCACTTATATTGGGGAAATTTGTGTCATGAGTACATTTGTGTTTTGTTTTCTTTGTCTTGTTGAGGTGAATTTTATCCCATTTGGCCAATGAGGTAGAGAGCAAGCCACATAACCAGACACCCAGAGAGGAGACTCCATCTACAAACAGGTCATTAACACTCCAGACCCATCTACAGAGACAGGAAGAAGGTGGCAGTGAGGGAGAGAGTGTAAGTGAATGAGGTAGCAAAAGAGGAGTGTGCCCTGGGCTAAAGTGTTGGTCCAGGCAGAGGGGAGTGTGCTCTAGGACTCACAGGAGCCTGTGCCTGGGATGACTGGAGTCTTGGTTACTGTGGGACTGCAGCTGAAGCCGCAGGTACCTGGCAGGGGTGTTTGTAGAGTAGATTCCTGGGTGTTATTTGTGGGCACCCCGGGTAGAGGTGAGGCTGGGTTCCCAGTCACAGCAGCTCTCCCCTTCAAAGAGATGTGGCCTCTGTGGAAGAGCCAGCCTCTCCGGGACTGTTTGCAATGGTAGCAGCGGCTGCCTGTTTCTCTGGTGGTCACTTATATTGGGGAAATTTGTGTCATGAGTACATTTGTGTTTTGTTTTCTTTGTCTTGTTGAGGTGAATTTTATCCCATTTGGCCAATGAGGTAGAGAGCAAGCCACATAACCAGACACCCAGAGAGGAGACTCCATCTACAAACAGGTCATTAACACTCCAGACCCATCTACAGAGACAGGAAGAAGGTGGCAGTGAGGGAGAGAGTGTAAGTGAATGAGGTAGCAAAAGAGGAGTGTGCCCTGGGCTAAAGTGTTGGTCCAGGCAGAGGGGAGTGTGCTCTAGGACTCACAGGAGCCTGTGCCTGGGATGACTGGAGTCTTGGTTACTGTGGGACTGCAGCTGAAGCCGCAGGTACCTGGCAGGGGTGTTTGTAGAGTCCTGGGTGTTGTCTGAGGGCACCCTGTGTAGGTGACACTGGGTTCCCAGTCACAGCAGCTCTCCCCTTCAAAGAGATGTGGCCTCTGCAGCAGAGCCTGCACTCCCAGAGAGATTACATCAGTAGCAGAGGCTGCCTGGCTATGCGAGCCTGGTCTGCCAGCTCCCAAGGTCCTGCAAGATTGAGCTGTCCCTCCATCACACACACACACACACACAC